TAGGGTTATCTAGGGGTTATATAGAGTTATCTAGGTGTTATTTGAGGTTATATAGGGATAATGGAAAAGAAAATCGAAACTACTACAGTATGTTTGGGTTAAACGGGCATAATAGAAAAGAAAATGGAAAACAGTCTAAACTCCTTCAGACGGAGTTATATAGGGGATTGTATAGGCTTTGGAGTTTAGGGGTTTAGGTTAGGGTCTAATGTTTGGAAAATGGGTTATATAGGGGAATATATTTTAGGAGTTATGAAGGGGGATACTAGGAGTTTAGACAAGAGCTCATTTAGGGCTTGGGGGTTTCGGGCTTAGGGCCGGGAGTTGAAGGCCAGCCCACAGAAATGGGATTTTCTGAAACGGATCCTCACGTGATCCTTGACCGGGACCCATGCTGTCCTTGTAATCCCCAACATTGTAAGGCCTAGATTTTGAGACATTCCCGAATTATGATCACCGCTAGCGTTGTGAGAGGGCGTCACCTTCATGGTGAAACCACGAATCAGAGAAACACAAACACGCTGGAAGTACCAGTCCCTAAGGGTCACCCGAAAACCCTCTTATTTGGGTCCTTGGACCCTTAGGGAATATTGCTGATCGTTGATTGGCGCATATGAGCGCGGAACACGAGTAGAATTTTGGAAGGCCCGGATGTCAAAGTTTACGCAAAAAAGGCGTCCCTGCTACATATAGTGCCCCTTATGTAGACAGAATATGGCCTTGGGTATATTATCATGAGATCCCTATAAATCCCATATTCTGTCTACTTAAGGGGGACTATACCTCGAAACCATAGGCATCCTGCAAACAGAAGCCCAGAATTGATCAGTGGAATCTCCAATATGGGTCTCAGGAGTTGGTGATCTGGGATGTTTGGAGGATATCAGGGAAGTTTCAGTGACTAAATCCTAAGCCTTAAGCCCTCTGGCAAGCTATACTTGTGTTCCAAGTGGCATTCTCCTGCTCCTCCAATCTGTTAATCTTACAATCTCTGCACAACTCTATAGTATGGTAGGACGACAGGATAGGGTTTAGGGTTTAGGGCCGTTTTAGGGTTGGGGGTGTTGTTGGGAGTTCGGGCGAGGCAATTTCAATGCTTTTGAGGGTCCTGAGAGCGTGCCACGGTTACCTCTTCGTCATAGGGTGCGTGACGATGATTTCGCCTACCAGTTCTTCATATCTCTCCAGGGCAAAGGCCTTTCGCAGATAAAGATAATCATGCGAAGGCCGTGAACCCCCGACCCGGATTTCTATGCAGCAAGACTTCCTGCAACAAGTGGACGTTCAGGTTTCATCTTTTGCGTGCATGAAGATCTGCAGGGGCTGAGAGATCCATTGTTACGGGGTTGCCGTTGAGGAACTGATTTAAGTGATCATACTATGGGTATGTAGTAAATGTTAGGGTTTCCTTCTTACCGTAACTCACTTCAAGTCTCTTAACAGCAACCCATTTTTTTGCGTCTCCGTAGGTGTGTAGGTTCGCAGGATCGTGCGCAAGCCCCGAAAGTTTCCCGAACCAATCCGAGTCTGAGCTCTCGTTCAAGGCTCGGAGAGGAGAGAAACATGCCTAGATCCCCAGTTTGTTTGCTGCAGTTTCTGGCTTGTGCCCAATTATGCAAAGTAGGACAAAGTTCTGTACCAAGGTAGCCCTTCCGCCCCCGAACCCCTGCCCCCCCCGAGTAGCCAATGTCAACAGCAGCCGCGATGTCTCCAGTACCCTCCCCCAGACTTAAATGGGACCCCATATAAGCTATACTCCAAACTCCTTAAAGTGGTTTATCAAGGGGG